TAGAAGCTACGCAATCTCAAGTTCAAGCATATATGGACCGTTATGTAACATGAGAGTCAATGAGCCTTTTGACTGCTTGTATAGTAGGTCGATGCCTGTGCCGCACGTCATTTCTCTGTAAATGTTTATATGAAAGTCTCATATATATAGGAATTATACTATAGTGTATTATATGGCTCTATGGGTGTATGTGTCCTTACATTAACATCCTTAATTTCTAGGCTATTTGAAAAAGTGTTTGCTTCTCACTTTGTTTTTTTGAAGAAGTTCATTCTGCTCATTAATCTATTTCTGTTTGTTTTTTTCTTTTTAGGCTTGTTCATCTTGATCTCAAGGGGGCCCCTTTGTGTGTTGACTATCTTGAGAAGGTATATGTTTCATCGTATTGTTGCTGTCGTGCTCAAACCCCATAAGCGCCACTGACAATATTTTACAAGAAAAGCAAAAAACTGATTATTTCCTTTATAAATTTCTTAAATATTTTTAAAAACCTTTCATCTTTGACATGATATAAAATATGATTCTTCGCCTTCTCACATGTTGTAAAATGAATAATTACAAAGAAAAAGGACTTATATTATGAGGTTTCTGCTTGAGTTGATCGTCGTGCACAGAACCCGTAAGCGCCAGGCGTGTCGCCTACGAGGTCCGTGCACGACGGGTCTGAATCGGCTGTCGTCACCTGATGTCGCTTTTGTGATTTTGTTCTTGAGTGGATCATTGATGACGGCTTGTGTGTGTGTATGTGTATGTGCGTGTGTGTCTTTGTGTGTGTGTGTGTGTTTCTCTCTTTCTCTCTCGATCTCTCTCTATCTATCGAACACACACACTCAAACACACACACACATGCGCAAAAACACACACATACACACACATTCATTTCCTCTCTTTCTGTCTTTTCTCTATTCGGAAACACTCTCTCTCACTCTCTCCCTCCCTCTCTCTCTCACTTTCGGGCTTCCGGTTTTTGATCTGGCAAGAGTGCAGCTGTGTTTTGTGTCGGTCTGTGATTTTCTTGGTTGTTTCTAAATTCCCGACAGATATTGTG